ACTTCACACTGGGCCATGCCCAGTCCACCTGGCTCAGGCCCAACCTTCCACCGTCCTGCTGCCCGGAATGCCAGGGGCTCTTTGGCTGGCACAGCCGATCTGGGCACGGCAGTGCCCGGCCTCCACTGGCTCCCGGAGAGCAGCTAGAGGCTGAGCTTGGAGGAGGGGTCACTGGATTGATCCACTTGTGTGTGTGTTCAAATGTGTACACCACTGTGTCCCATGATGCCTGCATATGCATGTGTGTCCGGGTATGTTTGTGTAAATGTGTGTCAGTATGCCCCTGTGGTGTCTGTGTCTCTTCTTAGAGGCCTGGCCATGTGAGTGTGCCTGTGCCGTGAGGGTGTGTACGAGTGTGAACACGTGTGCTAAGTTCAAGTCCCTGATGGCCTTAGTTCCTCTTCTTTTTCTTGTTTCTTGTGAACAGTTTGATTAAAACTCAGGAAGCAGCCAAACCTCCAAAACAAAGTGCAAGTGTGCGTGTGTGTGTGTGTGTGTGTGTGTGTGTGTGTGTGTGTTGCCCACAGGCCAGAGCCCTCTGTTCTGTCTGTCCCGCCCTCTGCCTCCTCATCGCCCAGCCGGGGCGTCCCTCTCTCGCTCCCTGCGACTCCATGATCTTCCCTTCTGCTGGTGGTCTTCGTCACACCATTGCCTGGCCCTGCTCCGTCTCCTGCCTGGGTCCGCTGTGGAAGGGGCCCCACTCCACCCGGCTCTTCCTTCAGAAGGTTCATCCTCCGGGGGGGCAGCCTGCTCCCTGGCCAGCACCCTGCCCACTGCCTGTCCCTCCTCGGGCCTGGACTGGCGTGGCCCCAAGAACCTCCGTGTCTGCTGGACTGGATAGACTGCGTACAGACTGTGTACAGACTGCAGAGCCTCCCCTTGCCTGTGCCCCCTCCGCACCGGCAGACCCACAGCTGTCCGTGCCGCGCCCGGATATGCGCAGGCCCAAGCCAGGCCAGCAGACAGGCCCCTTTGTACAGTTCTTACAATAAACCTCCCCCTCGAGCCCCTGAGGAGTGGGCTTCTTCCTTCGGCAGCTCCGAGTGCAGACGCCACCGGGGGCTGAGGGCAGCAAGCGGCAGGAGGGGCTGGTGGGACTGCAGCTGAGTAGGGGAGACCTGTGGAGTCTGGGGCATGGGGCCTGGGGCAGGGAGGGCAGGATGCTCCCAGCTTCCTCCTCTGGTCCCGTCAGGCTCTCTCTTCTGCCTAAAAGAAGGCTTGGAGGCCGGACAAGGCCCCGAGTCACATCCCTCCACTCCCACCCATGACAGCACCGAGCAGAGATGTCTGATCCAGCAGCCCCAGCGGCTCCTCTCAGGAAACCCCTTCACTTCTCTACCCTCCCCCCTCAGGGGCTCCAAGGTGCCCCTCCCTCTCCTCAGAGGTGCCATCCCTCCCAGGACGCTGCCTCTGACCTGCGACCCCAGAAAGCCCAGAGTCCCTTGGGCCTGTGACAGAGAGAAATGTGAAGTGAGCTCAGTCTATAATCCCAGTGGGTGGAATAGACTTTTGTATATAATTTGTTTTCTACAACTTGATGCCTGCCTCCCGGGGCTCTATTCTTCCAAACTAGTGAACATGGAGTCTTTCTCAGGAATCTGCACCCCTTTTCCTGGGCCCAGAGGTTACATGACCCCCCATGGGGGCTGGGGAGCGGCACACACAGACCACCCTGATGTCCCTCAACTGTGTCCCGCAGCCATGTCCACCAGACGTCCACCACCTCGGCTCTCCTCTCGTCGGGGAGGGGCCCAGCATCCCTGCAGGGTTCGCTGAGCCCCTCAGGTGCTGGCCTCCCTGGGGTCCTGGCTCCTCACTTTATCCGGAAGGACAGGAGAGCTTGCAGGGCGCCCCATCGCACCTTTCCCCTGAGCTTCGAATGACAGAAAAAGAGGCAGATTCTGAGGACACAGATAACGCGGGCTCACGTTTCCGAATCGGCCCCACCCTCGGGGAGAGATGCCACTTGTCACCGTCTGGAGGGTGAACCGTGTTCCGGGTACCTCCCTGAGCAGATACAGGGTTTCCTTCCAAGCTCCCCACTGCCCCATGAAGAACTATCACAGTGATTTCTATCTTACGTGAGGAAAGTGGGTTTCTGAAAGGTTAAGAGTAAGTGATACTTACCTGGGCGTGTGAGGCAGAGGAATTCTGCTTTGTGAGACACTGACCCACCCACTGACCTCTGGTGCCCTTGGCCCAAGGGGCTAGTAGTGCCCCCTGGTCCCGGCGACCATTGAAAAGCTCCGTGGTGACGGGGACCACCGGGTGATTTGAGGAGCTTTTCTGGTTGGTTCACAGCAGGGCCAGGATTCAGACTTGCATCCTGTTAGCCAGCAGCCTCCTCCCAGGAACCGAACAAACAGCCCAGGAATACAAACCTCACCTGAGGATATGTTCTTATTGATTTTAGAGAAGAAGGGAGTGAGAGAGGAAAATATCCATCCGTTGCCTCCTGTACGCATCCGGATGCAGAATCGAGCCTGCAACCTAGGGTATGTGCCCTGACTGGGAATCGGACCTGCCTCCTTTTGGTGTATGGACGATCCTCCAACCCACTGAGCCACCCAGCCGGGGGCCCATCTCCTGTTTCGAAGCCGCCTTCCTGGAAAAGTGGGGTGGAGGCCGCCAGATGTCGAGATGCCCAGGCCCCGAGTTCCAGGAAAGAAAAGGCATCACGAACCGGACAGAGCTCGGTGCTGTTGTCACTGGGGAGGGAACAGCACGGTCTCAACTGTGACAAATAACCTGCCGGCAGCGGCCCCCACCCCCACCCCCCAGAAAGCGGATCCCTGCCTGGCATGAATAGAAATGAGTCCAAAGGACACATCTGCATCTGTGCCCCTCCAGGGGGTATGGATGTGTGTGTGGAGGATGCCAGCTACCTCTCGTGTAGTCTTTGTGCCCCTGTAGTCACCCTGAGCCCCAGGACCAGCTCCTGGGCAGACCCATAGCCACACAGCCTGGGCAACACCCCCATGTACACACACACACACACACACACACACACACACACACACCCCAAGCCTTCCCCAATTATCCTCCCAACTTTGGGGGACACAAGCCCCAACGCTAACCAAGGCCTAAGTCACCAGGAGGTGCTTTGCTAAAGGAAAAGACCCTGGATTACCCCCCTTTCCGCCGGGGGGGGGGTCTCCAAACACCCCCACCAGCACCCGAGGCCGGTGGCCCCAAACGCTGACCTCAGCTGATATTTATAATCCTAGACTGTTTGTTCTGTGGACGGAACATCTGGCACCTTTTCAGGGAAATGTTTTTCATTTGCAACATCTGGAAACGGCAAGAACATCTGGGGCTGCCGGGAACAAGCCGCCCCTGGGATGAAACCTAAACCCTCCTGTCCCCACTTTCCGTGGCGTGGGTCCTGGCCCGGGCTCCTCGGGGGCGGCCCCCGCTGCACCAGGCGAGGCTGGGCCTGGGGCTGAGCGGGCAGCCCGCAGACCCCTCCCTGCCTTCCTCGCCGCCAAGCCTGGCGTGAGAGGCGGGGCCACAGCTCCCGGAGCCCAGACAGACCCCCGGCGGCACAGGCTGCTGGGGAATGGAGGGTGGCGGGGAGAATGAGACGCAGGCAGAGGGCACAAGGCACCTGTCTTCCCTCCTGGAGGTCAGGAGGATAGAGAGAGGGGACGGGAGAGAGAAGAGGCTGCCAGGGAACACAAAGCCCGGTGGGCTGGGCTGCAGGCGGCGGTGCAAGCCTGCCACACAGTGTGCCCCCTGCCTCCATCGCTCAGGGGCACGGGCTGCGGGGACCCGCGAGCACCACGCTTACCAAGTCAGACAGCTTCCTGACCACGGTCGTCCCATCCACCCCTCTGCTGGCTGGTGACATGAAGCCAGAGAGCCTTGTTGTTTCAGATCCTGAGGCTTCCCAGCGGTCGCCCCCTGTCTGTCCCCCTCCCAAAGACACCCGGAGCAACGGACACACTCATGCCCGGGAGTCCCTGGGGCTGCGTGGGGGGTGTTCTCTAAGCCGCCTCCACCTAAGTCCACCCCTTCAGCAGCTCCCAGCAAACCCCCACCAAGTGAGTGAGGGAAGAAGCCTCACACCCAGGCCTGGACCAAAGCTCCTCCCCAGGGGCTGCCGCACTTGGCCTGCTCTCGCTCTAGAGCCACTGTGGCTCCCTTACTCCACAGGGTCACGTCTCCATCGACCTCTGACGTGGCTGCCTCACGCCAGCCCAGCTGCTGTGTTCTGGGCCCTCCCAGTGCCCGGCCTGGGCCCGTGGCTGTTCCCCATCACTCACTCCCTTCCTTCCTTCCTTCCTTCCTTCCTTCCTTCCTTCCTTCCCTCCCTCCTTCCTTTCTTTCTTTTTAATATATTTTTATTCATTTCAGAGAGGAAGGGAGAGGGAGAGAGAGATAGAAACATCAATGATGAGAGAGAATCACTGATTGGCTGCCTCCCGCACAACTGGGGATCAAGCCCGCAATCCGGGCATGTGCCCTTGGTCAAAATTGAATCCAGGACCCTTCAGTCCAAAGGCCGAGGCTCTATCCATTGTGCCACACCGCTGGGGCCCACACCATCCTTCCTTGGTGCTCCTGTTCCTAAGGGTGCAGGCTGGCCCAGGGCGGGGGTCATGCTCACATTCATCTACAGGACCCGTGTGTACTCAGCCAAGAGCCCGGAACCCAGGCTGCAGGTCCCCGGACACCAGCAGGGTGGAGGCACAGAGCACAGCTGCCCGCGGAGACTCGGAGGTCCCAGCCCCCCAGGGTGCCCACTGCAGACTTGAGCTGTGGCGCCAAGCTGGGGTGACTCTTGAGCCTTAGCAGCACAGCTGACGAGAGAGCCCGCCCTTCCGCAGGGTCCCCAGAGGGAGCGGGTGCCTCCCCAGGGTCCCGATTTGCATGGCAGGAAGGGGCCGGGTGGGGAAGAGGCGGGGAGGGGACAGGCTGCAGCCCAGGCAGTTACACGCTTTCCCTCCAGGAGCCTCCGTCCTCATCGCGGGCTTGGGATCTGAGACCGAGGGGCGGCCATGGCCAGGCTGGCGCTGCGTCCTGTGCCCAGCAGCGGGCTGCTGGTGCTGCTGGTGCTGCTGGTGCTTCTGTCAGGTACGGCCCCTCCACCGGGCCTGCCGCTTTCACTCTCTGTCACTCTCCTTCCACCGGGGCTGTCTCTGCTCTCGCCACCCTCCTCCTCACACTCTCTGCCTCGGTCTCCCTCTGCTGCCCGGGGGCCGGAGTGCGTGGGGATCAGCTCCGGGGTCTGCGGCGAACTCAGGGGTCTGCGCCCCACCTGGCCCCGCTCCGCTCTGCATTGCCGGCTCAGCCAGGCCTGCGGGGTTGGTGGTTCTAACCACACAAGAGCCAGGCCCGGGAGGAGGAGAGGAGAGGAGTGTGGTTCACGCCCTGAGGACACTGTGGGGGGAGGCGGGGGAGAGGCTGCCCCTGCCAGACCCTGGGCCATACCTGACCCAGAGATGACCTCCCCGGAGGGCCGGAGAGCTCTGTGGTTTTGACCTCTCTCCCGTCTCCTCCAGGGGCCTGGTCAAAGCAGGAGGGGGGCTGGGAGGCAGGCCTTCTGGGGACCCCACCCCACTCCGGTCTTCAGAGCGGGGCCGGGGAGGGCTGAGGGGTCTTGAAGCCGCTGTGTGGGGAGGAGGAAGTGCCTCTGAGAATGCTGAGGGTGGAGGGTGGCAGCTCGGGGAGAGGTCCTGACCCGGCCCGCCCACTTCCTCCCCACCCACAGGTGAGCCGGTGTTCGCGGGACCGAAGGACGCGCCTCGGAATTCCCAAGGTCAGCAACCTCCCCGGCCCTTCCGAGGGCAGAGACGCCTGTCCGGGGCTCCTCAGTGTCCTCTGCCTGACCCTGTGCCACTCACTGTCCTCTGCCTGACCCTGTGCCCCTGTCCCCTGGGCCTCCCACCCGAACGCCCACCCTAGCCTGCTTGTCTCCCCTCCGAAGCCTGGCTTTGAGGCCCCCACACCCCCCTCCCTGCCAGCTGTCATCTCCACGAGACTCAGTGTCCCAGGCCCGAGCCTGAGGGACCGGGCTAGTCAAGCCGCGAGTCAGATCCAGCCCCAGAAGGAGCCCCTAACCTCAGGGGCCCTGGCAGGACCAGGGGCTCTCGGATTCCGAGGGGGGCCTCTCGCTGGGACCAGGGAGGCGGGTGGGTGGGGAGAGCATGCCAAGCGGAGAAAGAAGGTTTGGGAATAGAAAGCGGAGCAGGTCCATGCAGCGGGACAGAGGGAGGTAACGGACAAAAGGGGGGCCGGGGATCAATGTGGGCCTCGGGTTCGATTCTAGTCGAGGACGCGTACCTCGGTTGCAGGCTCCATCCCCGGCCCCAGTCAGGGCGCCACACACGTGGGAGGCAACCAGTCGATGTGTCTCTCTCCCATCAACGTTTCTCTCTGTGTCTCTCCCCCTCCCTTCCACTCTCTCTAAAGGTTAATGGGGAAATATAACATAGTCTCAGGTGAGGATAAATAAATAATAAAGGAACATCCGATGTCAGGAAGGGGTGGGCCTGGTGGTGTGGCCTGTGGCCTCTCACGTGGCTCCGCTCCCCGTCGCCAATGTCTCCTGATGGTCCCGCACCCTGGGAAGCAAGGACAGACCAGGGGGCTGGGCCAGGGGTAGGCGCCACCCACAGGGGTGGGGGGAGGGGCGTCCATAGTAGGGCTGACCGCCAGCCAGAGGCTGGGAAAGGTGGGTTTTGATCCTGGCCTTGTCGCCCACAGGAGGCATTTGCTCCTCGATCTGGCAGTTCCCACGTTTCATAGCCAGGAAACGGAACTTCAGCGTGACCATCGTTTGCTTCCTGGAGGTCACGGGCAACGTGAGCTGGTTGTGGAAACAGGATATGGACTCGGAGCTCAGGAATCTGATCGTGAAGCCGGGACACTTCGAGCAGACCCAGAGCCCGTCCAACGCCACCCTCACCATCAAAAACATCGGGTCCGAGGACAACGGCATCTACTTCTGTCAGCACACACGTGCGGACGGGGTCGTGGAGAAGGGCGGCGGCAGCGAGCTCCGAGTCATGGGTGGGTGCGGGGCTGCCTGCCCCTCCGGCCCCCGGCTCTCGCCAAAGGGACTGGAGTGGAAGGGCCACAGGGAGGGGAGTGGGAGCGGATGGGGCCGCGGGTGCTCAGGAGCCCGCCCAACCCCCCTGCCTCCAGGGAGGGGCCGCACCGAGGAGGAGGCCGTGGCTCTGGAGCGCCCAGGACAGCCGCGGAGGGGCGGTCTCGAGGGGTGCAGGCCGCCGTGTGGCCCCAGCTTCACTGTCCCCGCCCCCCTTCGCCCCCCAGGGTTCAGCTCCTTGAACCAGCTGAAGCGGCGGAACACACTGAAAGACGGCATCATCATGATCCAGACCCTGCTCATCATCCTCTTCATCACCGTGCCCATCTTCCTGCTGCTGGACAAGGTGACCCCACGGGCGGGGAGGCCACCGCGGGCAGGCCAGACAAGGACAGGGTCTCCCCCTCCCAGCCCCAGAGTCTGCCCACTGACTGACCGTACCATCATTCCTTCCCGCCTTCAGTTGTTCGTGCAGAGAGTACCTCACCTCCTGTCCCCTGACCCCTGACCCCTGACCCAGGCCAATCTCCCTGGCCCTCCCCATCTGGCCCAGCCAGAGCCAACACTCTGCTCTCCATCTCTTGCCCCTCCCTCCCCCTCCAGGATGACAGTAAAGCCGGGATGGAGGAAGACCACACCTACGAGGTAAGGAGCAGGGTGGGCCAGGCGCTGAGGGCCGCGGGGTGGGCAGCAGCACCCTCTGTTGGCGTGGCTGGGGAGTGGCCAAGGCCTGAGCTCCCTTCCCTGTCTCCAGGGCCTGAACATTGACCAGACGGCCACCTACGAGGACATAGTGACTCTGCGGACGGGGGAGGTGAAGTGGTCGGTGGGTGAGCACCCAGGCCAGGAGTGAGGCCAGCCCTCCCCAGGCCCCTGGGCACAGCCCCTGGGCCTCACTGACTGCCTCAGAGCCGCCCGGCTCCCAGTCCATCCCCTTTCCCTTGGACCCCCTGTTGGCCTCCCGAGCCAGCCCACCAGATCTGCCTGCCCCTCCGGCCCCGGCTCTCGCCAAAGGGACTGGAGTGGAAGGGCCACAGGTCAGTGCCTTGCAGCAGGGAGTTCTCTGGTGACAGACTGGGCCCAGCTTTCTCGGGGTGCTATGCGGGGACCCACCCCGCGCCGAGGACAGGGAAGGCGTGGACTGGTCCGGACCCTGCACATGGACTCAGAGCAGAGAGCTTCCTAGGAAGCCTGGGAAGGGCCCTGGCCCACCCCGACTCGGCCGTGGATGGGCCACCGAGAGCCTCATCCCTCTCCTGCTCTCTGCCGCCCCCTCCCACCCCACGGGTCCCAGCCTCCAGCCCGTTCTCCCACGGAATAAACAGCGTGTCTTACGAAACCACACCCCGGCTTGTGACATCTCTGAGGGCGGGTGGATGAGAGTGTCTGGAGGAGCACAAATGTTTGGCACCTGTGGGTGGGCGGGGACAGTTCCCATGGGGCTGAGGGACCTCTCCTGGGCTCACTTGCTGCTTCTTGGAAGGTCAGCTGGGACCTGTCCTCCTTCAGCCCCCAGCTCTGGCCCCAGCAGGGCCCAGCGAAGCTGGAGAAAGGCGGACTGGACTGGCCTTTCTCCTGAGATTCCCGGCAGCCAACCAGCAGTGCTTGAGTCCTGCTCTGGAGGGCAGGGATCTCAGCCCTGAAGGAGCGTTCCCTCCCCTCCCCATCCCAATCCTACTGTCCTTCAAGTCCTCCACCTCCGGGAAGCCCTCCCAGCGTGCCCAGTCCCTGCCCCTCCCTGTCCAGGCCCCAGCCTCTGCTGCCCACACCGGCTTTGTTTTCCAGTTAAACTTGAAGCTGCCTGAGGGCAGGGATTCCCCTGCCTCTACCCCCACCCCCACCCGGCTGGCCCCCACTAAGCCTGCACATTTACTTTATTTTTTTGTTTGTTTGTTTGACCCAGAGCCACGTGAGAGAGACTCCCAGAGAGGGAGGCTTTGTGGTGGCACATTCTGCGGGGTGCCTTAGTCAGGTGACCCCTTCATTTTCCAATCATCACCTCCGAAGCCCCCTAGGGCTGCAAGGTCCCCACAGCACGGTCCCTAGGGTCCTGCCAATTAGAGCCCCACGCCGCCAGCTGCCGGGGTGAGTGGGAGCAGCTCGCAGCTGGGAGGGAGCTCAAGTGCAGTTAACCAGGCCATGGCAGCGCGCAGAGCCAGGCTGAGCCACTTCCGGTTGCCCTTGGGGAGACCCTAACACACTGCTTTGCCGTTCACGCTCTGGATTCAGGCGGGAGCCAGCCCTGCCCTCAGGGAACCGGAGAGCCAAGGCCAGCGTGTGGGACCCGTGAGAGCAGCTTCCCCCTGTGGCGAAGGCACCGGCCCTGGGGCTCCAAGTCCAGCTCTGCCTGGCTCAGCGATGCCCGCATGGAGCCAGCCGGGCCGGGCAGGCTGTGCCGGGCCGGGCCTGCTCCCTCCCGGTCTCTGGGCTGCCACAGGGAACTGGCTTGTTTTGGCATCTGCCTCCACTGAGCTGGAGCCCTTCCTCTCCAGCTGCTTTGCATAGTGGCACTAATTCTGTCCTTCTGCCTCCACCAGGGACCCCGGGCAGCCCAGCCGGGCTGGGGGCGGGGGCAGTCTTCACTTCTCCCCGCGGCGGGGTCTCCCCCTGCTCGGGGCCGGGGCGACCTGAGTGAACCGGGCCTTGGCTTTACCGAAAAGCAGCTTCATACCTTTGAGTCACTGAGCTTCCCTAGCGCTTTGAGGTGTCCTCGGGCGGGCGGAGAGTCACTTGAGCCAGGGCATCTGCCTTCCGGGTACTGAGGAGCAGCCCTCCCGGTCTGTTTTTCTGGTCTGTTTTTCTGTTTTGAGGTGCCCTCACGTCTGACTTAGGCGGCGGAAACAAAGGTGGGAAGGGATCTTGGCTGAGGGCAGGGAACGGAGCAGGTGCTGTTTGTGTTTTCAAACTATCCGACAGCAAAAGTGGCTTTGTTTTTCTCCTTTCCGTGGGTGTGCGGTTTGTAGCACGCAGGCAGGTTTGTCTCACCACCACCACCACCACCAAGATTCAGAGAGTGAACCAAAGTCTTTTGCTGCCCGCCCCCCGCCCCCAATATTGACAAATTGAGCACTGCTTAACGCCAATGCGATTTCATTGAGCACCTCCAAGCCCCTTAACGTGGTCTTTTTTTTTTTTTTTTTTAAGGCTTTTTCTTTTTCTTTTCTTTTTAAAATATATTTTACTGATTTTTTACAGAGAGAAAGGGAGAGGGATAGAGAGAAGCATCAATGAGAGAGAATCGTCGATCAGCTGCCTCTTGCACACCCCCTACTGGGGATGTACCCACAACCAAGGTGCATGCCCTTGACCGGAATCGAACCCGGGACCTTTCAGTCTGCAGGCCGACGCTCTATCCACTGAGCCAAACGGGTTTCGGCCCTTTACATGGTCTTGCTCAGTGTTCCCTGGGAGGGCTGTCCCGGTGGTCAGTTTCCCTTCCCTCACAGGCCCCAGAGCCCCCAGGCCCTGCTCCTCCCTGGCGGGCCACGGGCCCAGCTGGTGTCCTCCAGGAGCCCAGCGTTGGCCGGGCCGCTGCTTGGCCCTCGCCCTCCCAGAATGCAGCCCTGGGGGTGGGCACATGCCCCACTGCCCGCTGGGGGAATTCGGCCGGGTCCCTGGGGCCCTGGGGCCCTGGGGCAAGCACAGGCTGCTTCCTCCTTCGCGCACTTGGCTTCCGGCCCTCTCGCTGCAGGTGCTGCGAGGCCTGGGCCCCTCAGATGGGGGGTTTGGGTGTTTTTCCAGCAGATTGGAGGTGAGAGAAAAACAAAACAAAACGCGAAGAGCCGCCCCATCTGGGTGTCGCTGGCAGGGAGGGTGGGTCCCGGGCCAGTGTGGGGCCCGCGGGGCCCTCTGTGAAGGGCCTCCATGGCGCCGGATCCTGCGCCGCGTGCCCGGCTCTCCTCGGGTGACCTCAGTCGCTGATCCAGGCTCACGGCGATGACCTGCCCGCCTGGGTCCCTGCTGCCCGGGCTGCACCTGGTGATGGCCCTCAGGGACCCGCCAGGGACTCGGCTGTAAACACACACAACCAGCACCACCAGCACCACAAACCTCCCACCGGGAGCCCCTCGCTGGCCTCTCCCGGGAAACGCAACAAAGATTAAACCCCAAGGTCAGAGTAGTTTGGGAAAACACATTTCAGTGGATCCTAATGCAAATTTCAAAGGAAGAAAAAGAGAGGCACTAACACCCCTTTCCCACGTGGCCCGAGTGGGAGGGCCGGGCCCCGGCGAGGTCCTGCTTAGGGCTCACGTCCTGAGCGTTGTGGGTCCGCGTGGAATGTGCGTGCCCTGGGATCAGCATCCGCACGCCCGCCTTGTTCGGGTTTTTTCCATTTAAATGTGTTCGCGTGAGGATTGCCGTTCATTGCAAGATCCTGCTCTTGGTTTTTCTTTTGTTTGTTTTTATTATATTTGTCATTTTAAATCACTGCACTATGCGAAGGACATGGAGACACAGCGTGGCCTGCCTTGTCCTTCCTGGCCGGGTGGGTAGCTGAGCTCTTTCCTTCTAACCATTCAGTCCACGCAGTGGATGCTTGCCGAGTTCCTGAGCCTGGGACCGTGCCAGCTGCAGTCCCCCCGCCTCCCCCCCACTCCCCCAGACTGTTCTCTCACCCCTCTATCTTGGCCATTTCCTTCATGGCAGTTTTCCCTATGGGAAATGTCTATATGGGTTTTACCGTTCTGTATGTATTTGTTTGCTATTTTCTCTCTTCCCATAGAGTAGACTGTGCATTCCAGCGGGAAAAGGATCATGCCTGATGTTCTCTAGGCATGCATGCATGTCCATCTGCCTGGTACAGTGTCTGGCATTTGGAAGGAGCAACAACTGCTTGTTGAATCAGCTTGTACATGAATAAGAGAATGAATGAATAAATGAATGAGTGAATGGAAGGCATGAATCCATCTCAAAGCGCCTACCGTCCCCTAAGGGGAATACGACGTCCACGCATAGCCACAAAATAAGGGAAAAGGAACCAGAGTTATTTCCAGCTGAGATCGCCAATCAGGAAAGCACCCCGGGCTTCCCACAGCTGCTGGACACACCTTGACTCTTATCCCTTCTTTTCTACTGGCCTGTCTCCCCGGGGAACAATCCATCCAGGGGAAATGACTCAGAAGCCCAGGCCTGCAGCTTGCTGTGCGCGTCCAGGTTGTCCCGAGATCCTCGGCCAGTTGTAAACAACACTCTCCACGGCCCGACCTCCATGCCCGAGGCCTCTGGCTGGCCACAGGCCCGCTGAGATAAGGGAAGTGAAAGCTTGATGCACACTGAAACGTGCAACGCACATGTGAGGGCTCATTAAATCACGCTCCGGCGGGTTGTTTTTCTGCCACTTTTCTTGTCGCCTCTGGACCTCGTGCTGGGCTGCAGGTCCTGTGGTTCCCTGGCCCCCACCTGCCTTGACCATCTGCGCGGAGACGAGACGCCGCCCTGCTAGCTCTGCCCGGGCCCCGGCAGCGCCACCGTCTTTCCCAGATGAGCTTCTGAGGAGCTGGCGCAGAGGGAACCCCGGGCCCTGGGCAGCCGTCACCTGGGAGCGGCAGGCTCCGGGCACACCGCTGTCTCTCTCTGCACCCGAGTGTCCGCTGTGAAACGGGCCTCCCCCCTCCTCCACCCAGCACAGCGCCTGGCACATGGTGGGCGCTCAGAAAGGTTGATCTCCTTCCTCATCTCCTGGACGAGCCCACGGGAGTCCCCGCATGATATTCTCAAAGGACTCTGGCTCAGTGCCCTGAGCACGGCGTTCAGACCCAGGCTAGAAGCAGGGAGGATCAAGTGGTCCCAGGCATCATCCCAGACTCGAGTGTGGGTCTCCAATGATCGAGGGGGAGCAGAGAGAGCTGCCAC